TACATATACCCAGAGAGAAATTAGGGAATTATGCTCCTTTCCTAATTTGTGGTTTAAACTAGCTTATAATATAAACATTTAAAAAGCATACTTGTGGTTTGGAAATGAGGGAAGGGTAGTGACTAGGAAAGGAAAGAAGGGGGGGCTTCTGGTGTACGATTAATGATCTATTTTATTATCTGGATGGTGAGATCTGGGTAGTCGTTACATGGGTATTTCACTTTTTTAACATTCACCAAGTTCCATAAGTGTACAACAGCAAGCACCTACCAGGTCAATCCCTCATTCCTGTTTTCTAAGCACTTCCTGAATAAATAAAAAAGGCAAGAAGCAATTACACAGAAGAATGAGATTTCCTATTTCATTTTCTCTTTGTAAAATTAATTTTTACACTTCTTAAATCATATACATCATGGTTGGTGATATGTATTTCTAGCTTCCAATAAGTTCATTAAGTAAGGCCTTCTAATGTGAAAGACTAATTATCATCAACAGGAGGGTGAGTTTATTTCATTATTGCCATTTGCTGGCATCTCTCACATAAATATAATGCAGCAAAGGATAATAAAAATATATTCAATTTTCAAGAAGTAAAGAAATATGGGGGCCAGCCCAGTGGCACAGGCGGTTAAGTGCACGTGCTCCGCTGCCGCGGCCTGGGGTTCGCAGGTTTGGATCCGAGGCACGCACCAACGCACCCCTTGTCAAGCCATGCTGTGGCAGCGTCCCATATAAAGCAGAGGAAGATGGGCACAGATGTTAGCCCAGGGCCAATCTTCCTCACACACACACACACACAAAAAAGAAGAAGTAGTAAAGAAATATGAATGGATTTTTGAAAAATTAAATATATCACACCACGTGTGGAAAAATTAGATCTTGACTAAAGAACACGTTAATATGGCACTGAAAGGAAGCCAAAAGATTGTGATTCAATCTCCTATTTTCCAGATAAGAAAAAAGACTTCAAATGGTTAACTTAGATTGAAATTGGTAAATTATAATACTCAACAATTTAAGTAAATTATTCCTTTCTGAAATAGCATTAAAAAAATTCCCATATAAGCTTCTGTCTAGAATGTGGAAAGCTGGAAAAAGAGTCACTCCCACCCTAACAATGAGAAAAAGCTGGATAAACTCACTAAGATGTGAGTTCTCTGCAAACTGATCTACAGAATTGATGCGATGCAGTTAGAAACCCAGCAAGCTCGTTTGTGGAAACTGACAAGCTGATTCTAAAGCTGATACGGAAAACCAAAGGACTCAGAATAGCTAAACCAAGTTTGAAAAAACAAGAACATAGTTGAATTTCACATTACCTAGTTTCAAGACTTCCTTTAATACTATAGTAATCATGACTGTATGGTATTGGCAAAATGACAGCCATCCATCCATGGAACAGAATAGAATGTCCAGAAACAGAGCCACACAGAAATGGTAAATTAATTTTTGACAAAGGTGCCAAGGTAATTCAACAGAGAAAGGATAGTACTTACAACAAATGATGCTGGAACAACTAAACATCCATATGAAAAAAGATGAACCTCAATTCATAACTTGCACCATATGCAAAAATTAACTCACGATGGATCACAGACAAATGTAAAACTATAGAATTTCTAGAAGACAACAAAAAAGAAAATTTTTGTGAGCTTAGGTTCCTGGATAGCAAACAAAAAGAACCATCCATAAAAGAAAAAATTAAAACTTTTGTTTTTATAAGGACACTGTTAAGAAAATAAAAAGATAAATCACAGTTGGGAGAAAATATTTGAAGTACACATACATAATAAAGAACTTGTGTCCGGAATTTATCAAGAACTCTTGAAGCTCAATAATAAGAAAACAAACAATCCAATTTAAAAAAGGGGCAAAAGATTTGAACAGACACTTCATCAAAGAAGATATGGTTGCCAAATAAAAATATGAAAAGATGCTCAACACCATTAGACAATGAAAAATGCAAATTAAAACCACAATAAGATACCACTACATATCCATCAAAATGGCAAAAAACAACAAAAACAAAAACCTAATACTAAGTACTACCAAGGATGCAGAGCATTGCTGGTGAAAACACAAAATGGTGCAAACACATTAGACAACAGTTTTAACTCAAGAGAAATGAAAGTATATGTCCACACAAAAATGTATATGTGAATGTTTCTAGAAGCTTTATTCATAACAGCCAAAATATGAAAACAATCCAAATATTTATCAACTGGTGAATGGATAAACAAACTGTGGTAGATCCACCCAGTGGAACACTATTCAACACTGATAAGTAACAAACTACTAGCATATCTAATGGATGGATATGGATGAATCTCAAGATCATCATGCTAAGTGAAGCCAGACACAAAAGGCTATGTGTATTATATGCCACTATTTATGTAACGTCTGGAAAAGCCAAAATGATAGGGAGAGGAAACAATTCTTTAAAAATTTTACAAATCTTTTAAATAACTATAAAAGCAATTTTTAAAAATAATTGCAGACATTTATACAGTACTTTATGTGATGATCCTCACAACATCCTACGGAGTAGGTACTAGTTTTATATCCATTTTATAGATAGCAAAACGGAGGTTCAAAGAAATTATCCAATTTACTCAAGGCAACACAGTTAACTGAGTGCATGTGCTGACATTTGAACCTTGGTCTCTGTTGCTTCAAATTTCATGTTGCTTTTTTTTCCCCTGCTACACTAATAATTATTTGTCATCCTCAGCTTTCATAATACTTAGTTCAGGCCTCTGCTAGAAAAGTTATCAAGTGATTTTTGTAATAAATAATTTAGATTATAAATGAGGAATGAGAAGGTCTTATTAACTTTTAATGTTTACATTGTTTCACACAGTGGGACACAGTGGACATTCAACTATTTGTGAATGAATAAAGAATTACTTGCATTTCCTGACAGGAGAGGGAGCACTGAATTAAAAACACCACATGTTCCAAAGGTAACTATTACTTCACTTTGGAAAATATTACTTCACTAGCATATTTATGGCACTATAAATAGGGTGTCTAAGAAGGTGGTAAGGCTTTTAGGAGTCAGAATTTAAGGGGGGGACAGTTACCTAAGCGTCAGTATCCACGTTTGGAAAAAGGACAATACCTATCCCTCCTTTTTCACAATTATGTGGATCAATGAGATAATGGATTTGACAAGTCCTTTGTAAATGGTAAAGCAATACATAATTATTGTTAAAATATTTAAGTATTATCATTCCCATCAAGCTGTTCAAAGAAACAGAATGCTTTTTATTCTCAAAATCTTTATCTACAAAGAAAAATATTTTAAAATCTCATTCCTTTCATTCCTAGTAATTAATGTTTTATAGCAGTGTTTATAATGTTTCACTGCTAACAACGAAACCCAGAAGACTCAAGAGTTGTGTACTTTATAACGAGATTATAGTCTAAGCTTCCAGTTCTGGCAGTAAAGACGGATGACAAGGACAAGTGAAAAACGTGTAAGAAAGAAAAATCAATTCACAAAAAATAACCTTTTAAGTAAATGGTTAAAATTTGCTGCTAATATTTGGTATTTACATACAGGAAAAAAGAACCAGTAGGTTTTTTTCGTTTCAAAGTATATTCACTATTTGGTCCCTGGAAACTGTTTGCTTAGTTAATATGAGAAAATGGTTTTAAGCTGTAATATTCAGAATAAATATAAATAAATAATCTTCCTATACCTAAATATTATTAAATGAAAGTACCATTTACAAGGGAGAATTAAATGGCTTGAATTATGAAAATGAAGATTATATTAGGCCTTCTTTGGATATGCTCATATTTTCAAGAATTTTTGTTAAAATAATTGCTTGTGTATTAAGACACATAGGAATAAGAAAAGGCAGTGAAAGTGGCTCATTACAACTTTTGGTTTTGCAAGAGGAAACGTCAGGGTCGTATTTGGTTGAACTTTTTACACGATGTCCCTTGTACAACATCAAAACCAATAAATACTCGTGTAAATACTTATTAATTCCCTTAATAATTTTATCTTGTATGTGTTATAAGGCAGTTATCACTTTAAATAAAATTAGGATTTAACTGTTTCACTAAGGGCAAAACGCATCAAGGCTACCAATTGAATCCCCTGAAAGATTATAATATACGTGTCTTCCAACTTAAAATCTGTAATATTTCAATAGACATGTTAACTTGGGATCAGAATTTTTACTTCTGAATTAAGCTATTTTAATCTCTGAAAAATGCAAGAGCACAATTTTATGTAACATCAAAGACTGGGAAATCTAAATACACTAGACATTTCTCTATAATCTGCTTCACTTCAACGCACAAAATCGTTTAGCAAAAACACCCTCATCTCCATATGCATACACACAAAGCCACGTGATACATTAATTTCCATTTTGAAAATTATGTCTCTACTTTGGGTCAGAAACGCTCATTCAATGAAAATCCAAACTAGGATAAAGTGTGTCCTTTTCTCTTAAAACTACGGGACAAGATTCTCCCTGAGCTCGCGTTTCTCCCCTTCACAGGAGATTTTAATTGGGGGGAAAAGGGTAATACTTCAGATTAAATGACAACTATGGTAAAGTAGAGGGAGAATTTAGTATCAACCAAGCGCCGCAATCAACTTGAATTTGCTCGGAGTCTTGGACGCTACCTTAATTGCGAGGGAGCATTTACAGAGCGTTTAGGCGGCTCGTTAATTCGTAAGGGCAAGGTCCAGGTAAACTTAGCATAAGCAGGAAAACGGCCATTAAGTAAAGCCCGGTTACAACGAGTCGTCACCTCCCCAAGCCCAGCAACGGAACTCGCCCCTTTTCCGCTCAGCTGGCGCGGGACATCGCAACGCCCAAGCGAGGCCCTCCCGCCCCAAGGGCGCCTGCGCAATACCCACAGACTCAGTTAAACCCTTCCTTGGCTAGGCGACGCGAATGGTTTTGAAATTATCAGGTCACGCCTCACTTTAAAAATCATTAGGTATAACAAACCACACCAGAACCACCACTCACCGAAGTGGTCCTAAACGCAAGCGACAGAATTTAGGCTTCCTCTCGCGACTTATCTGATGCTGCCGGAAGCGGAACTACCCGTGTCGTTAAGAGGTGGGTACTTATGGGGACGGTGGAGCCTGGGTCGGGGAGAGTGACGGCGGATCGTTTGGCTCTTGCCGGAAGTTGTTCCGCCCGGTGAGGTTTGTGTGTGAGACCCGAGGCGGGCGAAGAAGAGGCGTGACCGAGGTTCGCTAGATGTAGTAGCGCCTTGCAGTACCTCTCTGTGGTCCTTCAGCTGCTGCTGAAGAGACAAGACCCACGTGCACGTCCACAGCTGGAGTCTCTGGACGAACACCTCACTGCTGCCCCCGGGATTCAAGGGGAAACCGAGACCTGAATGGGCTCGGCCGTCTCCAGCAGCTCGCGTGACGACCGCAGCCGTGGCAGGTGAGGCCCCGCGACCGGAGGAGAACCGGGATGCGGAACCTGGTCGCCCGAGGTCTGCGGCCCCTGCTGAACGGTTGTTTGTCCCCCGCCGCGCTCTGCGGAGCCTGGGCGCGCGCTCCTCCGAGGGGCCAGTGCCGGAGCGGAAGGCAGCGCGGGCGCGGAGGAGCGACAGCACAGCCCTCAGGGTCCTTTCGCCTCTTAATGTCCCCTCCCCCTGCGCCTCCATTGCTTCCCTTTTTCCTTTCCTGGGTTGGAGATCCCAGAGGCTGCAGCTCAGCTGGAAGCGAACTGGCGCGCTGCTAGCTGGTGCTCCAGGCTGCGGTCTCGCTCCACCCATGTGGGCAGCCTCGAGTTTGGGGACTGCTGTGGAGAGAGATGGTTGTTTTTACGTTCATTCCTCAGCCTTTCTCCCTCTGCTCCTCGCCGCCTCCACCCCACTTCCAAAGAACAAAAGGCCCCACGCGTCGCAGCTTTCCACTGTAAGGACGGAGGCTGCAGGGCGCTGCCGCACCCCATCGGTTGGGAGTGTTGCATGCTCGCGCGTTTCCAGGGAGAAGGGGCGACGGTGGCGACCACTGGATCTCACTTACTAGGTTCCCGACGCCTTCCTGGGAGTTGGCGACCTTTCGAGTGCTGTGGGTAATACTTGTCTTGCTTTAGTGTGCTAGAAGGCTTAGCTGTGGAGGTAGGAAGCATGGCTGACTTAGCACCTAGCTTCCTTGCCCTCCTCTGGGATGGAGTTTTGTTGTGCTTTTGAAAATTCTTCAGTGAAAAATAAAGTTCTTGTTTCAGGCAGACAAAATAACGATAGCTGCCATTAACCGTGCCAAGTGTTTTACATATTTTCTCGTATACTCCTGCAATTCCATGATGTACCCGTTAGATTATTATTGTCATTTTATTTAATTGTTCAGTTTAATAAACTGAACAATTGGTAGAACATTTATTGATCACCCAAATAAGTGCTATGCACCAATTAAGTACTGGGACATATAGATGAGGTAGGTCCTTGTTCTCCAAAAGCTCCCACACAACTGCGTGTAGATGGTATTATGGAACTATTAATTTTCTAAAGTGGAAATGATATTGTGGTTATGTAGAAAGATGTCCTTATTTTTAGGAGATGCATACTAAATTATTTAGGGAATGTGTTGATGTCTACAACTTACTTTCAAATGGTACAGCAAATATATGTGTATATATGTGTGTATAAATAGAAAGTAAATATGGCAAGATGTTAGTAGTTGTTGAGTCTAATGGTGGGTATATGGGTGTTTATAGTGAACTGTTCTTTCAACTTTTCTGGATCTTTGAAATTTTTTCATAATAAAAAGTTGGGGAGGAAAAACTCTAATTCTAATGGAAACAGGTAATTGTAAAGAGAGATCCAGAATGCTGTGGAGCGTGGAATTTGAGAGAGGGTGCTGATGTGTGTTTGGGGCTGGCAGAGGCGTGATGGTTGTCAGAAAAACATTCATTGAGGACTTTCTAGTTGGCTATTGAAGGAGAAATAGCAACTTTCAAGGAGAGTAGTGAATTCCAGTTAGAAGGAAAGGCAGACTCAGCAAAAAGGTATTGCATGAACGTTTGAAGAAGGAAAAAAATCACTGTGAAGGTTGTGTGGAGCTTGGCATGGCCTTTTTTGTATAAATAATTTTATAAATGATACTGGGTTGCCTTGGCCACCCTGCAGAAGCCTATTTAATAACCTATTATGTAGCTGTAGCAATAGTTCACTGGAAAGGAGTCGCCATTTGTAACAATGTTTCCATTGGCAAATAGTTTTAGGATTTCAGAAAAACTGGTTATGTGTCTGTGTTCAGGCTGAGCAGCAGGAGCTGGGACTCCTATTTTCTCTGATTTTGGGAGCAGAGATTTACTAGTTCATAGTTGGGCTCCTGAGAACCTATGAAAATGTAATGAGGTCTCTAGCAGCAGCAGTGGCAAAGAGAAGTTTCTGTGGCTTCATTACACAGATGAGGAGGTGCATTCTAAACTGATGTATTTGTTTTGTGCCAGTTTAGTTTAGCTCAGAAATCTTAGTTATAACAACAGCTAACAAGATATATAAACAGCTAACATTTACTGAGTCCTTACCATGTGCTAATTGCTATGGTGTCTGCATTGTCATTTTTTTTTTTTTTTTAAACTGGGACCTGATGAGGTTAAGGAACTTGTTCAAGGTCACACAGCTTTTTTTTTTTTTTAATTTATTTTTTCCCCAAAGCCCCAGTAGATAGTTTATGTCATAGCTGCACATCCTTCTGGTTGCTGTATGTGGGACTCGGCCTCAGCATGGCCGGAGAAGCAGTGCGTCGGTGCGCACCCGGGATCTGAACCCGGGCCGCCAGCAGCAGAGCGCGTGCACTTAACCGCTAAGCCACCGGGCTGGCCCCTGCATTGTCATTTAATCTTCAAAACAATCTGAGATTTATCATCCCATTTTACAGATGATACCTAGAGAGTTTCAATAACTTAGTTAAGGACACAGAGCTGAGCAATTATAAGAAAAAGGTTTCTAACCAAGTTTTGTCAAGTGTAGAGCAATGGTTCTCAAAGTGTGATTCTCAGACCAGCAGCATCAGTATCACCTTCGAACTTTTAGAAAAGCAGAATGTCGGCCCCCACCCCCAGACTTTCTAGTTCAGTATTTTAACAAGCCCTTCAGGTGATTTCCCATGCTAAAGTTTGAGAACCACTGCTTTGAGTGTGGATACTTCAGTAGTGTGGTACTAATTTCAAATTTAGCATCAGGGTTAAGTAGTAGTTTTTTTTTTGCACGGATTTAAAGAGATTCCCAAAGCTGGCTGCACATCCCTTTGTTAAAATATAGATTCTCTAGTTAGGCAATGCTACTTCAGAAAATTTGTGGTAGGCTTAGTAACTTGAGTTTTTACAAGTGTCCCAGATAGTTCTGATGTGGTCAGTCCATTATGGGACTACTGCTATAGAAAGAAGCTTAAAAATGCAGACAGACTCAACTCTGATATTTGAATAATGTAATATCTTTAAGGCTAAATAGTTACATATTTTGGAATTCATGATCGAGGATGTAGTTTGATCAAAATGGTGAATAATGTGGAAGTGCCCTATGGGTAAACTAGGTTTGGTTTACTTATAGTGAAACGAGGGACATTATCTGTATACTTCAGGCATTTTTATAACGAGGAAAAGGGCCATGTTTACTTTGATTTTATATCACCAGCACTCAATACTGTGCCTGCTATAACGGGTGAAAAGTATTTGTTGAATAAATATATTCAGTTCAACAAATAACAAGCAATATTCATTCTATTAGATTTCCACATTATGTTAGGAGCTTGGTTTATAGAGTGCCTATAGAAGCTAAGGTTCATTGAGTGTTTAGTATATGCCAAGCACTTATGCTACTCAGTCTTCACAGAGTTACAGGGTATTATGATACCCCCTTTTTTATAGATGAAGAAACTGAGACTTAGAGAAAGTAGCATAAGTTGCCTGTTAATGTAGTGACAGATTTAAATAGGTGTCCAAAACATTGTGCCCTTCCCACTACTGAAATCTTAGGGCTGTTTTTAGATGGGAGGAGTAAGAAAGTGAAAAGAAACTAGAGGATGTAGGATATAAAACAAGAACTCAAGTCAACTTATACACTGCCATCAAGTTTTACAGCAACTGGAAGCTTTCTTTTGTTCTTTTTCAGCAAACATCTTTTATATATAAAACAGTGCAAAGGGAGTAGGAATAAAAGGCATTGATTTATAAAGTGAATTATTTCTACTTTTATTCTTTACTCACAAACTGTTTTAAGTTTCATAACACTGTGTAATTATAATTATGAAGAGGATAAAATCAAGCCTGGGTGAGTAAACTAGTTTTCTTATTTCATAGGAAGCCACCAATTAAACTGGAATTAGATCTATAGGACTAGGACTTTTGGAGTTATGCTTTGCAATTGTATCTTGCATATCATTCAACTCTTCTTAAGAATATTTGGTCAAGTAATTTCTTATATTACCTGTAATCAAATGAAGCATTTGATATGTAGTTTCATCTTCGCAGGTAATTAGTTTTAATATGACCAAGGAACAAGTACCTGCAAACAGCTTTGATAGAAAATATTTTGAGGTTATATCACTGTTACATGATAGTTCTCAAGCTGATGCTCACGGACGTCTGTTTATGTGGAAGAGTTTGGATGTCAGTCACATACAGTTGCTTGCAGGATTTAGTGCACATGTCCATTTTTTCTGAGGAGACGATCTATAGATTTTATTAGATTTGCCAAAGAGTCTTTGACTTCTAAAAGTTTGAGAGCTGCTGTTAAAATGAAATCTTATTTTCACTCTGATCTTGTTTTGTTGACTTATATATAAGACCAGAATGCCGAATGGTTATGTTCCTTAAAAAATCCTGTTTGCAAACTGAACTTTTATAAATTAAAGTCTTTTGAAAATTGATTTAATATAATTTCAGATTGATATATAGCTGTCAGTGGTTTTTAAACTCACATTACATTTTTATTCTTTTCCATTCAGATATTACTGAACTATGTGCAGAAGGATTTAGCTTTTAACGTATTTTTGTTATAATATGAACAGTTTTCTCCTAGTTTGTTAGATATTTTTGGACTTGAGGAATTTACTGTATAGTCTTTGTTATTTTGTACCAATTTGTCAAATTGCTAAGATGTATATTATTGAAGATCAGTCTTAATTTCTTAATTTCATGGAAAAAATGTCTTTTCATTTTGAAGGTATGCATCAAATTATTGGTACTGATTTTACAAGTGTCATTT